GGGCTTGGCCAAGTAAAACCTAATTGGTAGTTCAAACCAGCTGTCCCGCCTGGGTTCATGGTCTCACCTGTCCTAAGCTCTCACGTGCTGCCTCTTAGAGTGTGCAGCAGCAGGAAGCTGGAATTTAGGAGAGGAGGTGGAAATTCAAGCCCAGAAACTCCAGTAGGAAATGTGAGTGCCCTAACCTGTGTCTTAACCACTAGACCAGATGCCTGCTCCTAAATATTCATTTTAAAGGTAACTTCCATAATGTGTCCTGCTTTATTATTAACTACAATTAATTTTTTAAGATTTTTTTGGTTAGATTTACTCAAACATTTGATATGTTTGTTGTGCAGTGAGCTCTCTGCTCCTGTGAACTCTAAGGTAACACAGGTACCTCCCTGGAGCTTAGCTCCATTAACGTCATCCCTTAGTTGGACTCCTCAGTACTTCTCCTCAGAGGATAAGCTTGTTCCTTTTCCATCCAAGGTCCCTCACAAGTGTCACCCAGCTACTTTTCCTGTCTTTGTCATCTGGAATTCCCTTGCATGTGCCCTGTAAACAAAGCAAAGTGCACTGCCAACTTTGTAATTGCTTGTTGTGTACGTTCGTTGCCACGTCATTTGTGTTCATTCTTTTCCTAGAGCACTTGCTTTGATTATCCTGCCCGTCTTTGCCTGCCAAACACATAGTTACAGATATTTTCCGTAAAGTTGTCCCTTTGCCCCACTCCTACAACTAATTTCATTCCCTCTGTACTCTTGCACCCTGCAGGTGTTGCTTCTCAAAGCTCCTTTTGTATGTTTCTAAGGTGGATAGTTGGTGTGTACTTAGCATTATGGACGTTTGTTAGGAATAGACACATGTCTTTGTCTCTCTGCCTTTTGAGCACCTGTTGGAATGTCTTTCATGGGTAGTTAATGAGCCAGTGCTTGGTAGGGTAAGTTTTTAACAACCATTCACTGCAGTGTGCTTTCCAAACTGACAAGACGCATCCCCTGCTCATCATCTATGAAAAGAGCTGTGTGTAGCTTTGTTGCAGTTATGATGCTTTGAGTAGGTTTTAAAAATAATACCTGCCGTAGTACCTGAAGCTAATTAAAATGCTATATTCCAGGCCAGTGGTAGCTTTCTTATTTATCAGTAATTGCCTAGATGGGCATATGGAAAGTTATTTTCACAATTCATAACTATGGCAACAGCAATAATAGGAAATGCTTAGAAATAATAAGAAATGTATGATAAGTGTATAGATAACTGTCAGAGTTAAGTAAGTATAAAACAAGATTTTGAGTAATTATAAAAACATTTCTAGATAAAAATCCTGAATTTGTGGGGATTTCAAGTATTATTCAAATTAATTTTTTTAAAGATTTATTTATTTTAATTGCAAAGTCAGATATACAAAGAGGAAGAGAGACAGAGAGGAAGATCTTGCATCCAGTGATTCACTCCCCAAGTGAGCGCAACAGCCAGTGCTGCACCGATCAGAAGCCGGAAGCCTGGAAACTCTTCCTGGTCTCCCATGCAGATGCAGGGTCCCAAGGTTCTGGGCTGTCCTCGACTGCTTTCCCAGGCCACAAGCAGGGAGCTGGATGGGAAGCAGGGCCACCGGGACTAGAACCGGCACCCATATGGGATCCCGGCATGTGCAAGGCGAGGACTTTAACCGCTACACTATCGCGCCAGGCCCATCAACTTAATTTTTAAACTTAATTCTAAAATAGAATTTGTGATTTTTATTTTTGTTTTGTTTTTGACTGATGGAATGATCAATAGGACTAAACACTGATAATAGTTATGTCAACTTTTAAAAGAAGAGTCATGGAAGAATTTGATGGGACTGGAAAGTTTTATGCCAGATAGTCAAATTAATTGATACTTTCACTGCAGGACTGGAGATGGGAATGGACAGTATTGGAGCCAGAATATACTTGTTCTGTACAATGATCACATGATAAACATCGAAGTCGCTGGAGGACTTGTCTTTCAAAGTGTGATGTTAGAACTGGCTGCTGGGAAGTGGGGTAGGAATGACTCCATCCTTACCTTCAAAATGAATGGTCCAGAAGGAATAAATGGTGGATACTAAAAAGGAAAATATCACCATGAAAAAATAGATAAGAAGTAACTGTGAGCCCTGGAAAGAACTGAAAGCTGAAAGCAATTAAAAAATCAGAGGAAAATATTGATTCTATTAGATTATGTAGAAATTTAGAAACATTCCATGTCAAATGAAAGATAAAGGACGCTTTAGGGAAAAAGCATGTCGCATGGTGAAAGTGGGTGTCTGGCATAGCAGTTAATATGCCACTAGAGATGCCTGAGTTCCATCTTGGAGACTGTGGGTTTGAGTCCTAGCTGTGCTTCTGCTAAATGCACACTCAGGTATGAAACACTTGCTAGCTCAAGTGTTTGGGTCTCTGCCACCCACTTGGAGACTCCAGACTGAATTCCTGGCTCTTGGCTTTAACGAAACCAGCCTTGGCTATTGTGGGCACTTAGGGAGAGAACTCACAAATTGGACATTTTTCTTCCTGCATCTCAAAAATAATTTTTAATTTATTTTTTAGAATGTTTGTTTATTTTTGGGCCTGGCGAGATAGTGTAGTGGTTAAAGTCCTCGCCTTGCATGCGCTGGGATCCCATATGGGCGCAGGTTCTAATCCCAGTGGCCCTGCTTCCCATCTAGCTCCCTGCTTGTGGCCTGGAAAAGCAGTCAAGGACGGCCCAAATCCTTGGGACCCTGCACCTGCATGGGAGACCTGGAGGAGATTCCTGGCTTCTGGCTTTGGATTGGCACAGCACTGGCCGTTGCAGTCACTTGGGGAGTGAATCATCGGATGGAAGATCTTTCTCTCTGTCTCTCTTCCTCTCTGTATATCTGACTTTGCAATTAAAATAAATACATTTTTTTTAAAAGAATACTTATTTATTTTTGTTGGAAAGGCAGATCTACAGAGAAAAAGAGAGACAAAGAAAAAGATCTTCGTCTGCTGGTTCACTCCCCAAGTGGCCACAATGGCCAGAGCTGAGCCAATCCAAAGCCAGGAGCCAAGAGCTTCATCCAGGTTTCCCACACAGATTCAGGGTCTCAAAACTTTGAGCCATCCCCTACTGCTTTCCTAGGCCATAGGCAGGGAGCTGGAAGGGAAGTGGAGCAGCCAGGACATGAACCCTTGCTCATATGTGATTCCAAAACTTGAAAAATGAGGATTTAGCCATTGAGCCATTGTGCTAGGCCCCCAAATCTTTTTTTTTTTGTTAATGAGAGAAGTGAAACAAAGCAAGCGTTATAATGAAACATGACAAACATAAAAATATAAGGGCATAGAAGAAATGAAAGGAGAAAAATGTATGAGAAAACCAGTGTTTAATGTATAAACCAATGTCAGAGTAAGTTGAAATTGTGTATTAATGATGAAACTATGTTTTTATCCTATCAAACTGAAGAGTTTGAAATTTAGTACTTATAACTTATTAATAGTATGATAAAATGGACATGTTAGTATGTTTGTTACTTCAGTTGTGTAAATCAGTGCTCGGATTTTAGGAAAATAAACGGTTCTTACTGTTTGGTAGTCTGATCCGCCCCCCGCCCCCCCCAATCCTGAAATAAAAGGAGGGTAGTCATTTGTGAGTACTACTGGGTAACAGATCACTTTAAAGTTGAGTAGCTTTAAGCAGGCACTCATTATCTTAGTTCCTGTGGGTTAGGAACCCCTGTGCTATTCAGCAAGGTGCCGGTGACTCAGGCTCTCACAGTGATGCAGTCAGCTTAAAGCTCTCATCCGGAAAAATCTGCTCCCGGCCTCCCTCATGTGGCTGTTAGCGGGCTTCAGGTTTTTGCTAGCTATTGGTGAAAGACATCAGTTCCATTCCACCTTAGAGCTGCTCACAGCATGGCAGCTGGCTTGCCTGAGGAAGAGATGGAAGTCCTGTTGTGTTTGGGGCCTATTCTTGGAAGTGACATCTGTTCACATCTGCTGTTGTCTGTTTGCTAAGAGTAAGAAGTGGGTATATCCTACACCCACACTATCGAAAGGATTACACCAGGGCTGAAGTACAGGAGATGATGTATTTTAGGTGCTGTCTACCATGCGGGCTAGAATGCAAAGGTTTGTGTCGTGAGTTTGGATTTTATAATAGCAAAAAGAAAACAGTAATTACATCCATATACACAAAGATAATAATTTCTATCTTGTTTGAGTAACAGACATGTGCTAAGCATTTCTAGATGCCTTACACACATTTCTGGGCCTAGTAACACCTGTGTAAGGTGGTGGTTCCATTCATACTACTGGTGGAAAGTCATACTCAGAGACAGGAGTAACTGAGTGCGCAGTGCTGGAGTACCACTCCAGGGCTTGTTGGGCTTTCAAGCCCGGTGACCACACTGCCTTGTGAGAGTCCTTGCACGGCAGGCATGTTTCCCAGCAGTTAGACGCCTGTGTCTCGTGTCTCAGTTCGTGGGTTCAAGGAGTCCAGGCTTTGCTCTTCACTCTAGTTTCCTGTTCATGCAGATTTGGGGAGGACAGCAGTGTTGGCTTAAACCATCGAGATCCTGCTACTCATGTGGGAGACCTTGATGATGTTTCCAGCTCCTGGCGTCAGCCAGAGCAGCTTTGGGAATCGAGGAGTGAACCAGCTAGATGGCAACAGAGATTTCTCTCTCAAATTCAAAGCAAAATGAGAAGAGCACTTAAGAATAATATCTAGTGAGAAAAGCATGAAAACTTTGAATAAAACGTCTGTGGATAGGTTTTGTTCATGTGTGAGTAAAAACAGTTGTGAATGCTATGTCACTGGTAGAAAAATGCTAAATTTAAAAATCTTCTTTCATTCTTCATCTACATTCTAGATGTATTCCTTTCATAATTATTTTAAAAAGTCAGTGTACTTAGTAAAACACTTCAACTCTCCACTTGCAAGGAAAACCCTAACAAGACTTATCACATTTTCATGTTGCATTGGCATTTTACTTCATAATGAGTCATTGCTTTGAATCTGCTTTCTAGATTACGGATCTCTCATTACCCAACTACCTGATGGCATCTTCAGTTGGACTGCTTCCCACCCAGCTTCTGAATTCTTACCTGGGTACCACACTGCGAACAATGGAAGATGTCATTGCCGAACAGAGCATTAGTGGATATTTTGTGTTTTGTTTACAGGTGAGCTTAAGCCAGGTCAAGTATTTTTTTATTGTTTTGATCTTCTTTTAAGAAATTACATTGCTGATTTAAATCTAATGCATTTTATTAAAAAATAATTCAAGAGAGGATTTTCCTTGTTAGGTCTTTTCTTGGTTTCAGTGCTACTTTGCATCTTGACAGCATTAAAATGCTCTAACTATATCTCTACTCATATTTGGAAATACGCAGACTGACTTAACACTTAATTGGAAACTTGTTACAAACAAGGAATACTAAAAAAAAAAAGGTGTTTTTTTTTTTTGCTGTGATTGTTTTCAAAGTCATCACAAGTCTGATTGATATTTTGACTTTGTGTCGAGTGTTGTATACTATTTTCTGTGTGTTCCCTGTTCCTGGACATAGTGCTAATGATACTTGATGGAATGTTGAAAGTCTTCAATTTTTATTTTTAAAGTATTAATTATACTGGAAATATAAGTTTTTTTCTAGAACATTTTGATGTAGAACAAAAGCATAAAGTTATTAAAAATTCTGGTTTTTCATTAAAAATTCAAAAGATTTGTGCAATGGGTTATTATTGCCATGTAAATTTTAATTTGGAGTATGTGTATTCTGTAAGAGATTGGTAGAAGGAACATACTACCATGTAGCCAAATTTATTCAGAGCCCTAACATTGCATACAGAAAGACTTAAAAGTTGCAGTTGATGTCTTTCATCGCTGAGGTCTCCAAAACAGAAAGCATCCTAATTTTTGATTAGTCAGTAAGATGATGATGTTAGCCAGCCCATATTCAAAGCTTCATGCAGTGCATATTTAAGCTCATCTAGTTCCTGCCAAAATTTGGGGAACTTAGAGTTTTATTATCTTGAGCCAGTTGTGTCCCTCTTTCCAACTCTGCGTTCTGTGACATCGTACTGGTTAGCTTGAAATTGGCTACAGTTGGAGTATTTACAGCATAGGAAAGGCAAATGCTACCAGTCGGGCTTCCTGCTTGGGAGCCCCAAGAGCTGTTTTAGTAGGACACGTCTGGAGACAGTGAATGGTAACTTGTGCAGAGTCGCTGCTGTAAGGGGCAGGACTAGGATTTGAACCAGGATGGTCTAGAGAGCATGTTCATAAGTGATAAAATATATGATCTCCTGGGCAGGTAACACTAATGAAGTAGTCCCATAGACTTAACGTAATGGCCCTTTAAACTTATTCATTTTAATGTATAGTATGATACAATAGTTTTAACGTTGGTGGCATTATTCTCAAGTTTCTGTGTCATGAGATTGTATTAAAAATACTATGGTGAGGCCTGGCGCGGTGGCCTAGTGGCTAAAGTCCTCACCTTGAACATGCCCGGGGTCCCATATGGATGCTAATTCTATCCCGGCAGCCCCGCTTCCCATCCAGCTTCCTGCCTGTGGCCTGGGAAAGCAGTGGAAGACAGCCCAAAGCCTTGGGACCCTGCACCTGCATGGGAAACCTGGAGGAGATTCCAGGCACTGGCTTCAGATTGACTCAGCTCCAGCCGTTGCGGCCACTTGGGGAGTGATTCATTGGATGGAAGAGCTTCCTCTCTGTCTCTCCTCTTCTCTGTATATCTGATTTTGCAATAAAAATAAATAAATCTTAAAAAAAATACTATGGTAATATAAACCCAAAGTTAATTTTCTTTGTGTTTATGAGGTACAAGTTGAATAAATTAAATAAGGGCAGGAATGTGTATTTTTGCCTGGTTGCTTTAATAGAAGGTTATCAGTAATAGAAGTGCTTACTTTGAGAAAAATGCTAGAGCATCTTTCAATATTTGATTTCTCTTTAACTGATTTTTTTTCCAGAGATATACTGAATTTAAATAACCTAATTCAAGGTCTAGGTTTTTTGATATATTTGGTTAATTTGTATTATTACAACATGGTTATTATGTAATATTAAACTTTCTATGCATTATAATCATGACATAACATATTTACAGTCATCCCCAGATATACGAATCTGATATACACTGTGTTCTAGTTTTTTCTAGTATAATTTAAGCGTATTTAATACCGTTTTCGTCCCTTGATGAAGTTTGAGTGGAGTTCCACATTATTAGCAGCTTACCAAGGGTTTTCCCTGTTTGGAACTTTATATTTCTGTGCTTCCCCTTTTACTTTTTTCTTCCCCTTTTACTTAAGCCATTGGAATACAGGAATGGAAAGGCACATATTTCTGAGCTCAAGAAGAAAAGAGAAAATACAAGTGGACTCCAGTTTGATTTATTGATATTACTTACAGATTAATTTGTTTCAGGAAGGATTTAATACAGCAGGCAAAAACGATATGGAAGAGTAAAGTGAGAGAAGTCATTTTGAAGGGGAAAATTTGCATAGAAAAAAGTGATTTTCAAGTTAAAGTTTGCATATACATTTGTATATTTTATGTACTTATCTGCTGATAAGTATCAAAGAACTTGTAGTAAGTACATCATATTTTTTTAAGAGAACTAGTGTATTTAAACACAATTATGGAATTTAAAGACTGACAACCTTATTAGTCTATTTACTAAGCAGTATCTGTGGCACCAGTTCCATGAACTTTTAGACCCCAATCTTCTGCTCAACTCTGTTTTCTCCATCAGCTTCAGTACTTGAATTATTTCCCCCTAAAATTTATGCTATAATTATGAGTAGGTTTCATGAAAAGGAAGTTGCATTTTAGGGTCACTTTTGGTTACAGAAGCCTTTGTCAACTTGTTGATCCAGCAGACCATAGCAACTGTCACTGATCCAAAATCAGAAGAACTTCTTAAAATTGGAACTTGGAATAAAAATCACTTAGCTGTTAATTTCATAGACATTCTGGTGCATTACATGCCAAACAATGGGAGCTAGAAGTCCAGTGACTTAAGGATTTTTTCTGAAATCACATGGTTAATGAGTGGCAACACTGAGGCGAGAAGCCTGCCTTTGAATTTGGTCAGTTTAATGTTTTGAAATCTTTTGGCATTTCATTTTTTTTTTTTCTTAGGTCGCCCTTAGTACTTGCAAGTATTCTGGCCAACAGTAGTGGTGTCACATAAAATGATAGTGGTGCTCATTAACAGGAAGTTAATTTTCAAATAGCAATGCTCCTTTCTATGTGAGCTTAAAAATGCGTCTGAATATTGAAAACAGAGTGTAAGCTTTTCTTTGCCCCCTCCTCTCCTTAGGAGAAATGATGAAGAAGAGAATAATTGATAACTGCATGTGAACAATTTAAAAATGTGGAACCTCTTAGCATATCTGAGAAACATCTTGTTCAAAGCATTTCTCAGCCTAGTATTCAACAGGTTTCCTTCTCGACTTGTCTATAAAATACTGATAAGCAATATTTCATTTGTCTTCACAGATTGTTATAAGCATAGGCCTCATGTTTTATGTAGTTCATCGAGCTCAAGTGGAATTGAATGCCGCTATTGTAGCTTGCGAAATGGAACTGAAAACTTCTGTGGTTAAAGGCAATCAAGCAAATACCGGCGGCTCTTCATTCTACAACAAGAGGACCCTAACATTTTCTGGAGGTGGAATCAATATTGTATGATTCTAACAAAATGTGTGACGGTCAAGAGCCGCTAGTGTGCTGGCCATGGTCTAGCAGTTCCTTCACTGTTGGGCGAAAGACTAGTTCTTACTGTATTACGGCACAAGCAAAACTGACTAGTTTTTAAATTGCACAATTTTTTTAAGGCAAGAATCCTTTTCTGGATATGTAAATGTAAATGTAGATGCAATTTTGGCTGCACCTCTTTATTATGCCTGTAATGGCCAACAGGTCTGCACTTTAGTATTTTGGTAATTGTTTTCTTTCTGGGTACTTAAGAACAGAGAAATAACCCAAATATTTTTTTTTTCTGCTTACTGCCTTTATTTATAAAATCCATAAATAGTTGTATGCATCTTTCCCTCTTCTAAAGAAGAGTAAAGTATGCAGTTTTAAACACATTCTATTACTGGACGTTCTTTGCTTTGGCAGTCTTTCTAGAAAAGATGAATAGTGGTTTTTGTTTTGTTCTGTTTTTTGTTTTTTTTTTAAATGGAATCACTTTTCTTCCCTATTCCTTACTGGTTAGAAAACAACATTAAATTTTGCTTGAATGTATTTTTGCAAGCATCACATTATTGCTGGGCCATTTATACCTGTTCATACAAGCTTAATCCTACATTGTGGGACTGAAGTGCTCTTAAGATATCTTTTTCTTTTCACTGTGTAATATGCAAAGCAAAAAGGAAATTGTTTAATGGATGATGGCTCCAAATTAGAACATGGTGTTCTAATTCAGTTATGTTGGCTTTATCCTCCTGAGATCTTTCATCAAAGGGCTGTCCCATTGCAGTCTTACTAGAACACTTATTAAAGTAAATATTTATCCTTTTTGTATGACTAATTAGGCTTTGAAATAAAGACACTAGTCCTTTTAAATGATGGGTTACCATCATTGAAGATGTCACTCAGGTGGCCTTGTTTGCTCAAAACGCCTTTTTAAAAAGCCAAGCTTTAAAGTCATGTTTATAGTTACATTTGTATGTGCACATGTATTTGTCCCCATAGTCTTCAGCTTTAATGCCCAAAATTTGTATTATTTGCCATAGAACAGATTTTGTTTTGTTTTGCTTTGTTTTATTTTTGTGAGTTTGGTTTTGGTTTTGGTTTTGGTACTTTACTTTTCTCTGATAAGACTCAGGAATTCTGAAATGTGAGATTGTCTCAATTATTTCTCTGGTAGCATGAATCAAGTGTATTTATTAATAGTACATATGACTGTAGAATACAGTAATTTGGCATATAATTCATATAACACATATTATTCCTATATCACCTTTATTTTTTAAAAGTTTAATTGTAAACTTAATGATTAGGTTTTTTTTTTTTACAAACGAGGTTATAGATTATAGATAAAAATGCCAATTTTCTAATGCACATCTCTTTTTGGCCTTGAATATCCCAATTTGTCAGAGATCTCCCATTGCCTTTTCATCAGGGCCACCTTTGCCCTGACTTAACTGAAGTACAGAGGAATTCGTTGGAAGCAGATTATTCTAGTCTTATGGCAGAAATAACATTGATTCTTTTCATACAGAAGTTGCCATGAAGTACGGTTGTTTCTCTTCCACTCACAATGTATAAATTTTCTCACCCTTGTAACAGTGAAGATCAGTTTTATGCCCTTGCCAAGGAAACTTGATCTTCACTGATGTGTTGAGACACCCCTGGGTCTGCAGCATAATTGGCCTTCAGAGCCTGCCTTCTATTATTGATAGAAAAAGAAATAGATAACACTTTAAAATTTTGTTATTTTTAATCCTCATTGCCTTGCTAGAATTTAAAAAATGGTTTTAGTTTAAGTCGCAGTTAACAATACAATTGATCTACACTTTTCTGCCTAACTTGACTATATTTTTCTTGTGCTTCTTGTTTCTTGATTTGTTTTTATTAAAGGAATCATTATTTGAAATTGCTATTTTCAGACTGATTTTACACTTCATGTATTTTGAAGTATGTTTATTTACTTAGCATCTGTGACTTGAATAATTTCACCAAATGAATACCCTTGGTAGTTTGTAATGCACTCTTCCAGTTGTTACACTTCGCTTGGTACTTGTAGTAAATATGTAAAGGTAAAAGAAGTAATTTTTCTGTATTCTGCCAATCATAATTTTATATAATAAATCATATTTTTTTTTCTTAAAATAAGCTGGACTGACTGTGTGTGACACCCTGCTCTGTGGCTGCGGTTCTCCTTTTCCACAGTACTTCCAGTCTCCGCTATCATCGACCTAGGTCCTGGGTGGATTGCATCGCTGAATTATTACTCAACTCACTATAAATTGTGCAAAGCATCACCAGGTCTTATCCACTCTGTCACTAATCCTGCTGGCTAAATTTGTGGCAGCAATACATTTCTCAGGATACTTTTGTGTTACCCAAATACATAAAATGTCTTTAGTTATGTATGTTTAGAGATGTGACATATTTTCCTTTGCTCAGTCTGGTTAAAAGCAGCAGAAGTTGCTTTATGCTCATTTTAAAAAGTGTACAATACACCTGATTTCTAAATCAGATGGAAGATTTGTTCTATTTTTAATTTTGCATGGGCTTCCTGAGTTTTCTGTATTTTCTGGTTTATCATGGATGGCTTTGTTTACTGTTTGCCAAATTTTGCCATGACCATGTGAATTTTTTATTTGAAAGTAGCATCTCTCTTTTTAAAAGCATATTTATGAAATTACTAAAACTGCTTTCATAATCATTTTCTTTGGATTGATTTATGAAAGAACATGAAATCTGTACTATTTATCTTGCCAAAAATAATATAACCTGGTGTGTGGCATTAGAATGTGTATTCTGAATTATGTTCAGAAATGACTGTGGCTGTACTTAGAGCCGGCATGGCTCGCTCAATGCGCTTTGTAAGCAACCACAGCTATTTCCAAGGTGTTTTTGCCCCGATAGGTTTAAGTGGGTAACTTAGAAAACCCCTTCCTCCTTGCGAAGGCGTGAAGATCAGTAGTTAATTTTCCCCCACTGTAAATGAGCCAAGTGGTATAGGTACCGACATTTCCCCAGCCTTGCTGTATCGGTTGACATGCAGTGCTGATGCGGAAGAGGCAGTGACTCGCCTATGTCAGCATGCTAGCTATGGGCTGGACTCTGAGGTCAGAATGCTTGAGAACGGCACTAGGGGTGTGCTAGGTTGGTGCAACTAAAAGCTTAGATGCGTGGTAAGCCCATCCTTGCCATTTGTAGCCAGGCAGCCTTTGCAGAATGTGGACTCAGGAACAGAATTGCAGACCCAGGCTGATGACCTTGGTGGTGGAAGGTTTTGTCAGAATGATGCTGAGTGGGACACTCCCTGGAGCTGAGGCTGGACAGCACTGACTCCTGTTGAAATATGTGTAAGAAACAATGTTTTTAAACGTTATGACTGTAACTTGAAAAGCCCTTAAGGGAAAGAGATGAATCACCATTCCAAAGAATATTTACAACTCAGGAATTTAACCTACTAAAATACAAACCATTAATTCCACAACTAAGTTTTAACTTGGTACTTTTGAATTGCAAGGCACTGCTGCAAATTATTTTCTAAGATGGCTGATGATTTTAAAGGTGATTTTAGATGATTCTAAAGGTGAATCAGTAATGTATGTGAATAATCGGTGTCCAGAATCACTGTGTGCCTAAGAAATTAAAAGGTGATATTTTCCTCATCTCTTTCTTTCCCTCTGTAATTTAGTGGTTGTAGAGATGTGTCCACAGCAGAGCGTAGTTCAGAGGGAAGGGAAGATGTTTTCTTCCATTTGAGAGTGCCAATCAGAGATGCTCCCTGGCTGCTTAGGGTTACAGCATAGGTCCAATGGAGAATTGATTTCTTAGCGTTTTATGTGGGTATTTTCAGTGGGTTGGTGGGATTTTGTTTTGCTTTTTGCATTATCTGTGAGTCATAAAATAGCACCTGACTAGAACCGGCGCAATGACTTATTCTTGTCTTCCAAGTGCTGGGATCACGTAGGAGACCCAGCGGAAGCTCCTGACTCCTGGCTTCAGATTGGCTCAGTTCCAGCTGTTATGGCCATTTGGGGAGTGAACTAAAGGATGGAAGATCTTTTGTCTTTCCTCTCTATAGCTCTGCCTTTCCAATAAAAATAAATCTTTAACAAATAAATACCTCCTGACATTCTGGCTGTGGTAATATTAATGATATGTATTATAATGTCACAGAACTTTGACCAATCTGTTTTTTTTTTTTGCTGCCTACTCTATTCCCTTTGATCTTCCTTTTATTTATGTATATACATAATCTTTTTAAAAATTCACTTATTTATTCACTTGAAAGGAGTTACAGAGAGGGAATGTCAGGTAAGAGAGATCCTCTGTCCACTGATTGACTTCCCCAGATGCCCACAATGCCCTAGACTGGACCAGACCAAAACTCTGAAACCCAGGAGCCAGGAGTTTGTGCAGGTCTCCCATGTGGGTAGCAGGGGCCCAAGCACTTGGTTGATCTGGTGCTCTTGCCAGGAAAGGCCCTTGAAAGACCACAGGTTTTCATCTAGGATCAATCTTGTCCCTTTCTGTAGCAGATTCTGTATTGTACATCTTTTGGTAATCATTTGAGGTCAGAACTCCTTGCTGTGGGCTGTGGGATTAGCCACAGTTTGCTCCGGAGAGTGTCCGTGGAGCGCCTGTTGGATGAGCGTGTTGACAGACTTCCACAGTGCTGTTTGCCATGTTTTCCTCTCCTTGGGCAGCGTTGCACAAAGCCAGAGCAGTAGTATTATGAATCACACATCGCTCATTTTAAAGAACAGCATTGCATGCATGCTGATGTTACGCAAGGTATGCCAAAATAGTTAATTCGTACTCAAGTGTTCTTCCACGTTCCCACAAACTTAATTATCTGAACTGAGTAACTGCTAATTGATAAGACTTTTTTTTTTTTTAAGTTTCTCAGTATTCCCTTGGAGGTTTGCTGGCAGAAAAACTTGATAACCACAAAATTACCTAGTGAAGTTGAGTACAAAATCAATGAAATGTCCTTAGGCCTAAAATGGAGTAATTTGAAAATGACAGACTTCTTTAAGTAGTCTGTAATTGAAGTGCTATGCTTTAATGTAAATACGGCTATCCCAGGATGCTTGAAATTCTTGGCCATTGTGTAGTCATAGAAACCAAGAGGAATTTGCTGGCTACAAAGCCATTTTCAGTAGAAACATGCTGAAGCATGATCTGTTTAACACCTATCATCTCTCTCTCTCTCTTTTTTTTTTAAGGTTTATTTATTTTTAATTGGACAGGCAGAAATACAGAGAGAAAGATTATCTGTCCATTGATTCACTCCCTAAGCAGCTGTAATGGCTGGAACTGAGCTGATCAGGAGCCAGGAGCCTCTTCTGGGTCTCCCGTGTGGGTACATGGTCCCAAGGCTATGGCCATCTCCAACTGCTTTCCCAGGTCACAGGCAGGAAGCAGGATGGGGAGTGGAGCAGCCAGGATACAAACCGGTGTCCATATGGGATGCTGGTGGATGCAAGGCAAGGGCTTTAACAACCAGGCTACCACCCTCGGCCCAAAACCCCTCATCTCTTAACAACCCCGTCCCCTGGTCTAAGTTAACAATGATGGGACAGGCCTGGGCTAAGTGGTTTTCAAGTTTTTTTTTTTTTCAGTTCATTACTTTTAAAAATTATCTAAAGTATTTAAAATTTACATAAATAGCAACACAGACTTAGGAACTTACTGATACTTCCCTCCCACCCTTATTCCCCACCCACCCTCTTTCTTCTTTTTTTGTTTTTCTAGTTTTTGCGTAAGCATCTCTGCATTAGTTAAAAGATATCAACACCTAGTCTTTTTCTGTTTATAAAGTTAATTCGTTTTATATCATTCCATTTCTAGTTTATGTATATAGTGGAACAACTTTTTGAAATCATTACCTAGGTAAGCTTCATAATGCATTAACTTTTTAAAATTTATTTTAAAATTTTTTCCCATTTTAAGTTAAGATTGTTATTTTATGATACACTTCCATAGGCTCTAGCATTTCCCTTACCCACTCCCCAAATTCCTTCCCCCCACTACTGAGCTCCCCTATATTATTGCAATAGTATAGTTCTTCATAAACAATCATAAGTTCATCATTGCAGGCATGAACAATGGCAGAGTCCAGTGTCCTATTATCAAGATATATTTAACAGTTTCATTGGGAGTCCATTTTTGATCTGGAAGTAGAGCTGCATACTGCATTGTATCCTCA